ATAGGAAAGCCACCATTTTGGTTTCTCTACAATTGATTTTAGCTATCCTAAGTTGGTCATGAGCAACGTAGACTTTGAATCTTAACTTTACGATTGACTTGGGTAAGATTGGTTAGTGGAACGGTATGCCGATCTTAACGTCACGCTAAGATTGGGATTTAAGGGGTTTACGATTAGCATAGGGCTAAGATCGGTTAGTGGAACGGCACCCTGTTCCCCAAAATGATCTTAGCACTTACGACTATCTTAACGCTAAGAGAGCTTCGAAAATCTAGGCCCAGTTCCCTAAAATGGTCTTAGCACTTACGACTATCTTAACTTTGCGCAAAGAGAGCTTCGAAAATCTTGGCCCAGCTCCATAAAATGATCTTAGCGTTAAGACGATTGACGGTCATATTGGGAGTTACGGCGATCTTAGCGCTACGGTCTCATTCAATTAATTTGTCGAATGCCACAGAGGGCATAAACCGGAAAAAGGTCCCTGGCCAGTTCAACGAACGGTCGTAGTAATACGTTGATCGTAACGCTACACTTGCTTTGAGCAAAGGGGGCCCGGGCATGTTAATATGCGTAACGCTTTGTGGTACGGGGGAGAGATCATGGGGAATTGCAAGCCTTGGTGTCATATATACATATGTTTCAAATCAATATGTATAAACATAATTTCTTTTTAGCCTCATCTGTTTCAAACATGTTTACTCATTGCACGATGTTGTGTGATCCATTATACATGTATATGTTAACTGATGTTAGGGATCACATATCGAAATCAAGATGGAGAGTGCGGACTATAAGTCAAATGCACCGTACTTGATAATGTAATCGGACTGAAACCAAAAACAGAAGAAGTATTTTCTGTTAAGCAGCGACTCAACATTAAGCAATGAAGCGTACAAAAAGAACTTGTGCCAATACAGGCATCTAACATTTGCACAGATAATGGAGTTTTAAAGACAAAAAGTAAATAGTTGTGATTTTAGGGCATTTGTTTTGTTACACTTTGTTTTCTAGCCATCAGCTGAAGATAAGAGTGATGTTCTGTATACGCTGCCTGCCTTAAAGTGACAGTTTGTAGTTAGACGTTATATAGGAGTGTTATGTGATCACAGATACTCCTTTCAGGTATCATGCAAAACGTCTAGCCCATCACAGCCAGCGGCTGCCGTGTTGATGCCTGTTGCCTAGCAGCCGTAACAGATACACTGAAAGGGAGAAAATAAGAAAACTTATTGTTACTCGAATATCATGTCCATTGAAAACAGCAGAGCATGACGCCACATAACACATAACTAAAATAGGTAGGTTGTGCGTGAATAGGGTGTAATGTCACCCTTTAGGCACAGTAGGCTGTACCCACATGACACGTGTATGAAGGTACAGTGACCTGTAGGCGCAATAGCCTGTATCCACATGACACGTGTATGAAGGCACAGTGACCTGTAGGCGCAATAGCCTGTATCCACATGACACGTGTATGAAGGCACAGTGACCTGTAGGCGCAATAGCCTGTATCCACATGCCGTGTGTATGAAGGCACAGTGACCTGTAGGCGCAATAGCCTGTATCCACATGTGACCTGTAGGCGCAATAGCCTGTATCCACATGACACGTGTATGAAGGCACAGTGACCTGTAGGCGCAATAGCCTGTATCCACATGCCGTGTGTATGAAGGCACAGTGACCTGTAGGCGCAATAGCCTGTATCCACATGACACGTGTATGAAGGTACAGTGACCTGTAGGCGCAATAGCCTGTATCCACATGACACGTGTATGAAGGCACAGTGACCTGTAGGCGCAATGGCCTGTATCCAGATGACACGTGTATGAAGGCACAGTGACCTGTAGGCGCAATGGCCTGTATCCAGATGACACGTGTATGAAGGCACAGTGACCTGTAGGCGCAATGGCCTGTATCCAGATGACACGTGTATGAAGGCACAGTGACCTGTAGGCGCAATGGCCTGTTTCCACATGACACGTGTATGAAGGCACAATGAGCTGTACCCACATTGACACGTGTATGAAGGCACAGAGAGAGAGAGAGAGAGAGAGAGAGAGAGAGAGAGAGAGAGAGAGAGAGAGAGAGAGAGAGAGAGAGAGAGAGAGAGAGAGAGAGAGAGAGAGAGAGAGAGAGAGAGAGAGAGAGAGAGAGAGAGAGAGAGAGAGAGAAATACACCCTCACTTACCAGGCAAATCCAGACAAATAGCCAGGGTGGGAAGAATATGGAAATACAGCAGTGAAGACAGTGGTTGACGGTCCTGGAAGAAAAGCAGTAACATAAGCATCCCTGGGCATCAATGTTGCAAATGTACGCATATATTACAGTTTATCATTGGCATGATCGACAAATCGTAATCCTAAATCGAGGCAACTTATTGTCTACTAATAAATACGTGGGGGACCTTCACATGTGTAGAGTAAGCATTTGGAGGAAAGACATACAGACATACAGGGGATACGTATTACATATTCAGAAAATAATTTCAGACACTTTTCAACAAGCGGATGCATGTTACCGCTAGTGTGTTACACCGGAAATGTGTGTCAAGCTCAATTCTGGTTTTGTCCCTGACGGAATATTCTTTGAATTTCGCCAAGAAATTAAACTCACTTTCTATATGGATAAAAGCATGCCAACATACGCGTATTGAGAAATCTGGCCCATTACGAATTAATTTGCGTTACATGTGTTAAGTGTATTTCACGTTTACGTTAAGCTATTTTCATACATTTTAAACCCGTGACGATCGGAGTTAGAATTGATCTTCAGTAACCCATGTTTGTCGTAAGAGGCGACTAACGGGATCGGGTGGTCAGGCTTGCTGACTTGGTGGACAAATGTCATCGTATCCTAATTGTGTATATTGATGCTCATGCCGTTGATCACTTGATTTGTAGGTCCAGACTCGATTATTTACAGACCGCCGCCACATAGCTGGAATATTGCTGAGTGTGGCGTAAAACTAAACTCACTCACTCTTCAACGTGACTAGCAGACGTTTTAACCACTTGGCTACCCCGGACCCCTTCCAACGAAACATAATGTCAAAGACTAAATATATATCTAGCCATTGCTTTTATTGACTCTGTGAATTCTTGTTGTGATGTCTGACTATTGTAAAAGAATATTTTGTTTTTAAGTTCAGGAAAAGCGACAACAAAATTAATTAAGGGTGAGTGAATATCCCACGTCATAAACAGCACTGACTAAGTTTCGAAGTAGGACATGCCCGGTGGTAAGACGAAAACAGAGCATGTTTAAAAAATCTATACATATATGAAATATATATTGACGATTTCACAACAAGCACTCTGTATGTTTGTAATTAGTCAAGGGGCCTAGCAAAATATCATTGTAGAAATTCGTCAATGAAAGATTTATCAAGCTTACATGTCGTCATATACTAGTAACCGAAACATTGCCCAAATCAGCGTTAAACCCAACTCACTCACTCACTCACTCATCAAACTTATTCACCCCAACACTCACTCGCTATTACGAGAGCTATAGACACGGGGTGAATGTGACATTAATTATACTATACTATAAGTACTTACTCTCTCTGAACTATCACAGTTTGCTGCGCAGCACCACCGCCAACAACAACGACGTTGGTACTTGACTGCTGCTGCATCATCTAAAACAATCAACATAACAAAACAAAACCCGTCAAAAACACAAAAACGAAAAATGCATCCTCACCCATCCAGGACATACTTCAACTCTATCCCGCTTAATATCCTTGACCTGTTCGCCACTCGTATTTCGCTTTAGAACTGAGGTCACCGAAATCAAATCTTTCACTGAGAGCAAGATGTATTGCGTTCATGAATTTGACACCCCAAACCAATGAACACGAAAATTCTAAACAAGCGTTCCAACATCAAAATGCGGGAGAGCGAGCCGCCGAATAAATACTGAAATATATACTAATATTACAAAAGAGTTTTTGATTAATTTTGTAACGTATATTATGACATTCGAAAGTTTAAAACACTTGGTACCAATGTTACTGTTGATGTCTTAAATTGAGGCGCTTTTGTCTTCGGAAACTGAACTAATCTTGACTTGATCTGGATATTTGTTGCGGTAGGACGACGATGTCTCATTATATCACATCGAAATGAAAATTCGGGAGCAAAAGACAAAGACGAAGGTTCTTCAAGTGCGTTCTCGTCCCGTGAAGGATCTGGTTAGAATATTGGTCTTCAGTAACCCATGCTTGTCGTAAGACGCGACTAACGGGATCGGGTGGCCTGGCTCGCTGACTTGGTTGACACATGTCATCGGTTCCCAACACGTCAAAACATTGATTACACAACAGTCTCATTTCCTGTTGACTGGGTTCCGTCCTATTGCGCAATTTAGTACAATAACCAGTCCAGAATTTGAGACCAATTCATTTAACGGGATACTTAAATATTAATCAGTATTATTTGATACATCTAACCACTTGTATATTGCAACACTACGCTCCTTCTAATTCTTGCAAACACGATGTGTGACATACAGGGCTGAATAACGCGCACATGAAAACAATACGTGAATTTCCTCAATTTTCCATAGATCTTTTACATAGTCGTACAGTGTATGAGACATCGGCCCAGATACACTTCAATTCAAAGAATACGTCCTTACGAGACACAAGGAAATTCACAAAAATATTAAACTGTACTAAATAACTAAATACTCTTTGACTTGCTTGTTGTTTTACGCCGCACTCAGCAATATTCCAGCTATATGGCGGCGGTCTGTAAATAGTCGAGTCTGGACCAGACAATCCAGTGATCAACAGCATGACCATCGACCTGCGCAGTTGGGTCACGATGACATGTGTCAACCAAATCAGAGACTCTGACCACCCGATCCCGTTAGTTGCCTCTGATGGGCTACTGAAGATCGATTCTAACCCGGATCTTCGTGGGTAAATATGCATTGATCTGAGAATTTTGAAACTGAGACAAGTACAATAAATATCTCAAAATGTTCACTTTACCGGAGGAGGGTAGGGCTGGGGTGGCCCGTACCCCTGGGGTGGTGGTCCGTATCCTTGAGGTGGTGGTCCGTATCCTTGTGGTGGTCCGTATCCTTGAGGTGGTGGCCCGTATCCCTGGGGTGGTGGTCCATATCCTTGTGGGGGTAGTGCTTGTTGGGGTGACCCCGTCCCTGCAGGGGGCTGGTAAGGAGGTGGGGTTTTCTCCATCTTTGATGTTATACTTCAGGAAAACTTTGAAGAATTTGCCTGCAAAACAAAAAGAATCACATGGCTGCAAAAGATCTTTACCAAATGCTACGTATTATACTAATATTGTTCAATATTCGCAGGCCATGGGTATTTTCTTTCAAATCTGTTTCCAATCTCTCGTCGGCTCTGATCTTTCACTATGGCACTGCATCGTCACACGGCACCATGATACTGCATGGTGCTACATCGTAATACGTCACCATGATACTGCATCGTAAAATGTTAACATGGTACTGCATCGTAATATGTCAACATGGTGCTGCATCGTAATACGTCAACATGGTGCTGCATAATACTGCATCGTAATATGTCAACATGGTGCTGCATCGTAATACGTCAACATGGTACTGCATCGTAATATGTCAACATGGTACTGCATCGTAATATGTCAAAATAGTAGGGCATGACACTGCATCGTAATACGTCAACATGGTGCTGCATCGTAATATGTCAACATGGTACCGCATCGTAATATGTCAACATGGAACTGCATGGTACTGCATCGTAATATGTCAACATGGTGCTGCATCGTAATATGTCAACATGGTACTGTACCTTAATATGTCAACTTGGTACTGTATCATAATACGTCAACATGGAACTGTATCGTATTATGTCAACATGGTACTGCATCGTACTGCATCGTTATATGTCAACATGGTACTGTATCATAATACGTCAACATTGTACTGCATCGTAATATGTCAACATGGTACTGCATGGTACTGCATCGTTATATGTCAACATGGTACTGTATCTTAATATGTCAACATAGTACTGCATCGTAATATGTCATGATGCTGCATCGTAATATGTCAACATGGTGCTGCATCGTAATATGTGAACATGGTACTACATCGTAATATGTCAACATGGTGCTGTATCGTAATATGTCAACCTGATACTGCATTGTAATATGTCAACATGGTACTGCATGGTACTGCATCGTAATATGTCAACCTGATACTGCATCATAATATGTCAACATGGTACTGCAAGGTACTGCATCGTAATATGTCAACATGGTGCTGCATCGTAATATGTCAACATGCTACTGTATCGTAATATGTCAACATGGTACTGCATCGTAATATGTCATCATGGTCCTGCATCGTCATACGTCAACCTGATACTGCATAGTAATATGTGAACATGGTGCTGTATTGTAATATGTCAACATGGTACTGCATGGTACTGCATCGTAATATGTCATCATAGTACTGCATCGTACTGCATCGTAATATGTCAACATGGAGCTGCATGGTAATCGTAATATGTCAACATGGTGCTGCATCGTAATATGTCAACATGGTGCTGCATCATAATATGTCAACATGGTGCTGCATCGTAATATGTCATCATGGTACTGCATCGTAATATGTCAACATGGTACCGTATCGTAATATGTCAACATGGTGCTGCATCATAATATGTCAACATGGTGCTGCATTGTAATATGTCAACATGGTACTGCATCGTCATATGTCAACATGGCACTGCGTCGTAATATGTGAACATGGTGCTGCATCGTAATATGTGAACATGGTGCTGCATCGTAATATGTCAACATGGTACTAAATCGTAATATGTCAACATGGTGCTGCATCGTCATATGTCAACATGGTGCTGCATCGTAATATGTGAACATGGTACTACATCGTAATATGTCAACATGGTGCTGTATCGTAATATGTCAACCCGATACTGCATTGTAATATGTCAACATGGTACTGCATGGTACTGCATCGTAATATGTCAACCTGATACTGCATCATAATATGTCAACATGGTACCGCAAGGTACTGCATCGTAATATGTCAACATGGTGCTGCATCGTAATATGTCAACATGCTACTGTATCGTAATATGTCAACATGGTACTGCATCGTAATATGTCATCATGGTCCTGCATCGTCATACGTCAACCTGATACTGCATAGTAATATGTGAACATGGTGCTGTATTGTAATATGTCAACATGGTACTGCATGGTACTGCATCGTAATATGTCATCATAGTACTGCATCGTACTGCATCGTAATATGTCAACATGGAGCTGCATGGTAATCGTAATATGTCAACATGGTGCTGCATCGTAATATGTCATCATGGTACTGCATCGTAATATGTCATCATGGTACCGTATCGTAATATGTCAACATGGTGCTGCATCATAATATGTCAACATGGTGCTGCATTGTAATATGTCAACATGGTACTGCATCGTCATATGTCAACATGGCACTGCGTCGTAATATGTGAACATGGTGCTGCATCGTAATATGTGAACATGGTGCTGCATCGTAATATGTCAACATGGTACTAAATCGTAATATGTCAACATGGTGCTGCATCGTCATATGTCAACATGGTGCTGCATCGTAATATGTGAACATGGTGCTGCATCGTAATATGTCAACATGGTACTGTATCGTAATACGTCAACCTGATATTTCATCGTAATACGTCAACATGGTAATGGAACGTAATATGTCAACATTTTACTGCATCGTAATACGTCATGATGGTACTGAATCATAACATGTCAACATGGTGCTGCATCGTAATATGTCAACATGGTACTGTATCGTAATACGTCAACCTGATATTTCATCGTAATACGTCAACATGGTAATGGAACGTAATATGTCAACATTTTACTGCATCGTAATACGTCAAGATGGTACTGAATCATAACATGTCAACATGGTGCTGCATCGTAATATGTCAACATGGTACTGTATCGTAATACGTCAACCTGATATTTCATCGTAATATGTCAACATGGTAATTGAACGTAATATGTCAACATTTTACTGCATCGTAATACGTCAAGATGGTACTGCATCGTAATATGTCAACATGGTACTGCATCGTAATATGTCAACATGGTACTGCATCGTAATATGTCAACATGGTGCTGAATCATAACATGTCAACATGGTGCTGCATTTTCATACGTCAACCTGATACTGCATCGTCATACGTCAACATGGTACTGTACGGTGCTACATCGTAACATGTCAACATGATACATAATCATGATAATGTATGGTGCTGCATCGTCACACGTCAACACTGTACGTCATGATACTATATAGTCAGACATCAACATGATGCTGCATCGTCATACGTCAACATTATACTACATCGCGATACGACAACATGATACTGCATGGTGCTGCATTATAATACGTCAACATGATACTTTATAGTGCTGCACCTAAATGTTTGTTTATACACAGGCAAACTGTAGCGCAAATAGGGCTGCGCGACGGAGAGAAAAATGACCAGTCTTTCTATTAAGCGAGCGAAGCGATCAAAGGTTGGCAACGTACTATCTTCGCTTCGGTTCGAAAAACATTTTTATTATTAACATATAACATCGCCACTATCAAAGGTATACACCCACTCACAGGATTGTGTTTCAGATTACCAACCTCATATTTAATAATTACTCTCGTACAATATATGTAATTCAACATTTTAAGCGCCACTCGTGGCATATCAAATCGTTCTTCGCCTCCATCACCCCTGCCAGCTTCCGGTTCAACGGAGTGAAGGAACAAGGTCGTAATTTTTCATACGTAAAACTTTTAAAGTTTCATACAACACTCGATCATGGAGAGATGTTTGGAAGATCAGTGTATACAAACAACATATATGTTTAGATGTTTGGGAGATCAGTGTATACAAACAACATATATGTTTAGATGTTTGGGAGATCAGTGTATACAAACAACATATATGTTAAGATGTTTGGGAGATCAGTGTATACAAACAACATATATGGGAGATCAGTGTATACAAACAACATATATGTTAAGATGTTTGGGAGATCAGTGTATACAAACAACATATATGTTTAGATGTTTGGGAGATCAGTGTATACAAACAACATATATGTTGAGATGTTTGGAAGATCAGTGTATACAAACAACATATATGTTTAGATGTCAAAACGGCTTACAATTAGTCGACGAACAGTTTCAAAGTATATCGCGGCAAACTAAATAAACAGTGTCTTAGTATTAAGTCATGTTAATGTCATAATGAAATTATTATTTAACACTATCATCTTTCGGTTTGAGTTATTCAAATCTTCTAGCCGCGCTATCCGCCTTGGAAACTGAACAGGAAAATATGTGAATGCTCACCTAACAGACGGGGCGGATACAGCTTTTTGAGAAAGGAGGGGTGCACACTATTGAGAAAGGTGGGGTGCACACTTCATTTGCACGACAGTTTCAATGGTGATTTAATAAAATTTCAGGACAAAAGGGGGCTGCACCACTGCACTGCCCCCACACACACACACACACACACTCTGGATCCGCCTATGGAATTACTTGCTACAATCACACCAACACAACTTAATCGCCACACAAGGCACCCATGATCTAGATTCAAAATTACACCGTGTATGAGAAGAATCGAAAACGACTTGACGTGGGCGGTCGTGTAACACACTACAGCGACACCTGAGCTATAATGTCTATGCCTACCTCACAATACACGTATCAACCGCAACTGTCGCTTTGAGAAATCGTCGTTTAAATCTTATCAGGAGATAAGCCACCTGTTTGCTCGACCCTTCAAGTCACATGATAAGATATGCAAATTGTACACAACCTGTTTTTTTCAAATGCGAAATGCATTTAAGATTTTACTGACGCATTCAACCTGAAGGTCATACCGCCTCCGTGGTTTTCTGGCAAAAGTATGTGCTTGGAGGTCGTACAGACTCAGTGGACTACTGGATAGAGTATGTGTCTGGAGGTCGTATCGCTTATCGCTTATCTGAATAACGTGTTGTATACAGGGGGGTTGAAGCCCATATCCTCCATTTTCTTTTTATGACGCAACATAGGTGTGACCTTTGTGTGACCTATCCTCCTTCGGGAGTCCCCTTTCCGGCCCAGGTGTGTGTTTCTCACCTTCAGGTTCAAGTGGTCTGTGATTATTATTCAATTATCTTATGAGTGGTATGAGTTTGC